GTTACCTTATGTACCCGCTGAATAACTTCGGTAATTCTGTTGTGTCAAAAGTATATGAATCTCGGCGGGTTTAAAGTAAGATTATAGAGATTTTTTCGAATTTATATTTTTGAAAGAAAATGTAAAAGCTATACTATTGTTGATACCTAAAAAATTAAGAATTTTAATCGATAGCCAGAGCATGGTTGATAACTTTTATACAAATAACTTACAACATGAGTTTAGACAAGATGATTAATTAATTGACTTACCGGTAGTAGCGGAATTGTCCTGTGAATTACCAATGGAACCGAACCCAACTGGAGACATGTTTGGCGAGTGGTTTTCTCTTTCTTCCTTTTTCATATTCACTAAGCTGCTCAGGACGTCGGAGGGTTCTTCCTTAATAGCAATGCCCATGGACAAACTGGAGACGGACCCTGTTCCGCACCCTGTGCCGGCGGCTAGACCTTTCGCTTTATTAGGTCCTTTTTCTGTTGAGAGGCATAATGTTACACTTTCATAAAAGACGATGTTCAGGCAGACTACTAGGTCAATTCGAGCCAAGGTTTAGATACCCTTGAAGCTTTTACGAGAATATAATATTTTATAAAACGACTATATTCATGTTTAATGCGTTTATGTAGCAATGTGGATTTTCCAAGAACTTTTTTGATCATTCCTATGGTAGGTAATCGGTTTCTTTGATCGATCTTCATAAAAATAAAACCGACATTATAAAATAGTAATTACCAGCACCTCCTCTCGTAGGTAACAATTTAAAACAAAGAAGCTAAACTAATTTTTAATTTCTTTACTAATTTTTTCTATGGGAGTCAAATCATATAGTCGCCCAAAACGTAATGTTCCGATTTCTAGGCTTCCTATTAAAGAAAGAAGACTTTTGGGAAAGTTTCATCCGGATTGCATTAAAACTGACGGACTAGTTTGCGTAGAAACGAACAGACGCACAGTGATGCTGATCAAGAATATATATACTTAATTATGTTGAAAAGGTCTCATTCAGTGCGTTTTAACCATTCGACCGAAGTTATAATACTTTCTAAGAGGGTATAAACATTAAAGGAGGAGAAAATTGGCGAATAGTTCGCTCTCAGAAGTTGTTTATTCGCGTTTAAGCGTAAATCGCAGGACTTCCGAAAGGGGAGGCAGAGCCTGTCTGAGTTTATGTTTAGACTGCCTTACCGCCATCCTCATTCTTCACACTGGTCTTCTTTTTCTTCGCCTGCTCTTCGCCATCGACCATTTGCGTGAGGCCAACCGTTGCAGACACACTGCTGCTGTTCGAGTGTTCGCTGGTGTTGTTTGGAGAGGCGACCAGGCACGAATTAATGCTGCTTGAGGAGTTCTGTCTGAGCATCGGCGGACCGGCAGCGCCCAAGGAAGACGACTGCGATGGCTGTGCGTCGGCCGAAATACCTCCTGCTCCACCTGCGCCACCGCCTCCCATTCCGCCCCCGCTGCCACCAGCTGGATCGGCGTTGCCCTTGTCATTACTTGATGATTGGCCGTTTTTCTCTGCACTTTCGTCCGGCATTATTTTGATTTGATCTGGGAATACAGCCAATTGGTATTAGGACTCCAGCAATTATAAATAAATGCGCGGTCGACTCACCCGGAGACAGAGTGGAAAAGGGCTCGATCTTCATAGTCTTTGGAGAGCTCCTGCTGGTTCCTGTCACTCCATTCCCATTCCCATTCCCAATGCCTACTCCAGCGCCAGCTCCGGATGCACTTGTTGAGGCATCGCTATTTAATTGAGGCTGTGATTGGGCAGGACTGCGGGGCATTGTTGTCGACATCATTGTAGGTGTGCCAACATGGAACAATTAGTTGTGCCTGCCTGAGTCGAATTTCCTTGGATGGGTTTGGCGTCTAAATGCTTAGGTTAATTAGAAAAGCCATCGCTTGGCTATCTGCGGTTCCCTGCAAACACATCCAATAAAGTCAGGCATATGCACATCAAATACAGCCCGCACGCACACTATTGCACTTATGCATGAGTTTCGAACTCCCGAATTATACGCGAATCAGGGCCAGATGCCTCTGGTGAGATCATTTCAAACACAAGCACTAAATGTATTTTCTTGTTTGTTTTGAAATCCTTTTGTGCTCAACTTAAATCATCCTGTTTCACAATTTTATGTATACATAGTTACTATCAACACTCATGAACAAAGCATTTACTGATGTAAGTTGTGTGCTTAGTCGTTGAACTCCAAACTTCGAAAATTAGTTATGAGTAAGCGTAGTCAAAAATGTTTTGGATTCTTGGTAAAAATACATATTTATAAGCATAACTCGCGAAATAGCATAATATAAAAATAAGAAATTACTGACGTTAAGAGTGACCAGATCGCGACAATTTGTGCCACACCAAACTTGTTCTTAATACATTTTTGAATACTGAAGGAATAAATCTGGTATATTTTAAGGAAGCAGGGAACTCACGAAACAGTAATACCGTCTGTACACAGTCACTTAAAAGAGTTGGAGCCAAAAAGTTGAACCGACCCATTCACACAGGCGCCCGCTGACGCAAAAATAGCTAATCGGCTTAATCGGCGAAATAAACAGACTTAAAAAAAGAAGAGAACACAAAATTTAATTTTCCCGCCAAGAAAATGGATATTATCGCAAAACTAAAAACAATTTTGACAAGTGGAAAGTTTTTCCTATGCTAATGATGTATGTACTGACGTTAAGACTTGGAAAACACCCGATTGCCGTCTAGATTATACTTAATATACTTAATAATACTTTTAAATACTTAAAAATTACTGAATTACAGCCGAATTTACAGCCTACTACTAATCGCAACAACGAGTTCCATCGATCTTCATATAAACTGGGACTGTTACACTGCTTATGCCCTCTTTCCACACAGTCCATCCGTTGGAAACGGCTGGAATTTTCAAAAAATGTGAAACTCCGATTTCCACTGTGGCTAGTTTAAACATAAACAAAGTCAACAGGTCGACCACCTTTTTTTATTTGTTGTTCAGCTCAGCTGAATTCGGAAAAACCGGGGTTTCACTATTTTCAAAAATCCCAACGGTTTTTCAGGGTGGACCGTTTTTGTTTATGTTTCAACGAGCCACAGCTGTTCGGATTAGCTGAAATCGGAAGGTGGATGTGCTCTGTGGAAATCGGAGTTTCACATATGTTGAAAATTCCAACCGTTTCCAACGGATAGACTCTGTGGAATGAGGGCATTAGCCGATGTTTTTGCGGTGCAGCCCTCTTCCCACGCAGTCCATACCTGAAAGGTCGTTGGGATTTTTAAAAAATGTGAAACTCAGACTTCCACAGAACAAATCATTAATACCGGAAAATACCAAAATTAAGCGATATTTCGATTATACCACGACGACAACAAAAAATTTAAAATCTATTTTGCATAAACATTAATGGAAAAAAAAGCAAGCGTAGAAAATTCAGGTGTCAGTGCCATAATGCATTTCTGCTGTATCTCTGGCAGGAAAAAACACACACATATACGGGGATTTTGGATCATTTTAAGAAACGGGTCGTTTTCATGGAAAAACTTCCTACGGTAAATAAATGTCAAATTTTTGTTGAGTTAAAATTAATATTTTTAATTTTCCGGGTTTTTTTTAAGGGAGCTTATGACATACTCGTCCGATTTGAATCAAATATAAACCGTAATGCTTAAAAAAAACCATTACTAAATATCGAAAAACTAACAAAAATAAATTTGAAAACAACTAAGTTATAATTTTTTTTTCATTTTTTCTCTGATTGTTCCTATGGGAGCTATATGCCATAGTCGTCCGATCCGGCTCGATGCAGGTAGCATGAAAACTGAGAGAAGTTTGCGTAGATACGGACGGACGGATGGACAGACGGACATGGCTAGATCGACTCTCCTAGTGATGCCGATCAAGAATATATATACTTTTGAGGGTCGGAAATGTATTCTTCACTGCGTTGCAAACTTCTGACTAATAGCCTGATTCCATTGCCGCATTAAAACGCATTTAGCCAAATGCGCATTTATTTACACAGGGAATCCCATAAGGCTAAATGCCGCATTTAAAATAAATGCGATTTTTAAATGCGATTAAAAACCATTCGCCCCGAAAGTTTTTAGAAAAAATACTGGAAAATACCGATGTTTAACGATATTTTGTTCGTGCCACCACTACAACAGCTGTTTTCTATAAGCAAGGTTGGCGCCATTTTTGATGTCTTTTGAATATAAAATCTATTTTGTAAAAAAATGACTGAAACCTAGAGCGCACGCTGCAAATTCTGCTCGCAGTACCACAATGCTTTATTGCTGGATCTCTGGCATAAAATTACTTCCACATTTACGGGGATCCTTGCCTTTTTTAGAAACTGAGGTAGCCTCCATTGCAAACCCGTCATAACAACGCAATCAGCTTCTCTTCTTTGTCGTTCAAGTTGGCAAATGTCTCGGTCGCAATATGGATGTCCTGCTGAGCATTACAGAGTTTAGTAAACTCACTCATGTTCATTAATTTTAATTAATTTCTTTTGTATTTGCCAAAATTCAAAAGTAAACAAGCCCAGATCAGCTGTTCGTGCCACTCACATGTCGGAGTAGCATTAACTAAATGCTAATGCGCCAATGGAATCAGGCACATTTAAAAAGTCCACTAATGCGGCAATGGAATCAGGCTATAAAATATAATACCCTATGCAACGGTATAAAAAGGGCCACTACCCCGAATTATTGTTGTTGTTGTACGGAACAGCTGACAGAATTTTAGCAATTCAGAGACAATGTCGCTTATGGAATACCCAAACAATCAAAAGAGATCCGTGGCACCCAAAATTTGACTCTGTGCTGAAACATGGTTGGAAAAACATTCTTTCAGTTTCTATTTCATTATTTGGCGATGCCAGACAATTGATTTCGAGATGGAAAAAAAGACTATCGATAGATCATATTAGTGCCCAGTGTTTTCAATTTAATTTTAAAAATAGCTGAAAATTACGAGAAAAAAGCTGGTTTGGCAACACTGCAACAATGGTTGCGCCAGCGCCTGGATAAAATCAATAAATCGATACTGAAAGTAATTGTGATTTCTAGCGAGTGTGCTCTTTAAAAAAAGCATTTTTTGGCTGCACTGCACAAATAAAGGCAGGCCATATGCTAAGCCGGAAATTTAATACGAAATCGTTACTTAGCTGTCACTATGTTTGTGTTTTCTGTGTAACTACTGAACGTGAAAAGTACGTATGGCAAAATAAATGTAAAATACGATTTTTAAAATTTTATTGCGGAGGAAAACACTGACAAACACGATTTTTGATAATCAATTAAAGTCAAAATTAAACGAAATAATTGTTTAATAAGTTATAAATTCTAAGAATCCTGTGTATACCCTTGTATACAAATTGTGCAGTGACTGACAGCTTTTCGCAACACACAATTTAATATGCATTAGTTACAAACAACGTTAGCGGGATTTTTTTAAACACTTCTTGGATTAAAAAAAGTCCTAGGTCTACGCACTTAAACATCTTTAAATATTAAACTTAAATTCATATTAGGTTGAAATAAAACTTCAGAAAATACTGAAACATGAAAATATATACATATATGTACATGTATATTTATTGTGTACTCATACAGATGTGTACATACAAGTATTACAAGCGTGTTGTTTTCGACCACATAAGGTAATCAGCTAAAATTTAACCTTTGGCAGCAGAGCTCATTAGCTGATCAGAATTGTTTAAAGCCCCGAAACAAAAACAACTGCATTGCTTTGTGTCGAGTTACATTCATGCATATGAATATGCGGCTTTTGCTGATAAGGTTCATGTCATTAAATCTTTTTAGAAATCGGTGAGAAGTCCGACCAGAACTGTCAATGCGAGAATAACTATGCGCCATTCCTGCGCATTTTGACAGTAACCGTCTAAGACAAATCAAAACCAACTCCGCTAAAATGCCTTTGTTTGGCAAAAAGGATTCCGGCAAGAAAGCCAAGGCGAAGGACATTAAGGAGCTGAATAAACAAGTGTCAATCGAGGAGAAATACAACCTTCATGGGCTTTTGGGGACGTACGTATTAAAGAAGTTAACGTTAACGTGTTTCAACGAATAACCTCTTCTTATCCTACCCGCGTCCAAAGTGGAGCTTTTTCAGAAGTCCGCCTAGCCGAAAGCAAAGATACGCCTGGCGATCATTTTGCAGTGAAAATAATAGATAAGAAAGCTCTAAAGGGCAAGGAAGAATCTCTGGAGAATGAAATTCGTGTTTTGAGAAGGTGAGTTCAAAACAACTTTAGGTTGCCGATTCAGCTCTTTTTAAAGACCCAATCAACCACTCCCGACATCCAAAAACATTAAGGCTCGTTTTCTGGTCCTGACGTCGAAAAAATACCTTAAATTTTGAAGAAAACGTGATTTTTGCAGTTTAATACCTAATCGAGGCTCAACTAAGGACGAGAAAACGCTCTTTAAACTGGTGGAAATTTTTTTAAAGCACTTTCTATTAATAGTCTGATTAGCATTGGCTAAATGCCGCACTGAAAATAAATGTCCCGAACGTTTTTAGAAAATTTTCGAAAAATTAGATTTTTCGTTAGTGCCACGACTAAAAAGCTATAGGCAAAGAGGTTGCAATTTTTGATTGCTTCCAAAATAAAAAAGTCCTGCATAAAGATGATTGTGAACAAACAGCTAAGTTTATTGCTGTCCTTTGGCAGGAAAAAACCCCCACATATACGGGGATTTTCGCTATTTTTATGAAACTATGGTGGTCTTCTCAGCTGACCCGTAGAACAACACTATCAGCTCATCTTTGTTGCCGGGTTGGCAAATGTCAATCTAGCATTAAGGATATCCTGCTATGCATTAAAGAGTATCATAACCTCACTCATATTCATGATTTTTAATTAAGTTCGTTTGGATTTGCTAGAATTTAAAAGTAAACAAACCAAGATCAGCCGTGCGTTCTATTCAATTGTCAGTAAACAGTAAATGTTTCCGAATCAGCAAATCCACTCAATATCAAAACATAAAATGGCATCGAGAAATCTAAATATAGAAGTTTACAGCAGGGGTTCTCACGCCAATGCACAATGATCTCAATTGTTTTTGTAAATGCACAATGCTTTGGGAGATGTGAGGGCCGGCACAATAGATAAGCTGCATGCTGGGCACATTTTGCTATACACTAACAATTTTTTTATTCTTCCTTGCGGACCAATTCGTAACTGATAAGACCAAGGCAAGACAACAACAATGTTATTGGGTTTTTTTTTTGGATCGCCGAATTGTTTTTGTTGTTTTGAATCTACACCTTGAACCGCAAGGAAGAAACGAAAAATTGTTTGTATATAGCATATTTTTTCCAGCAAGATAACTTAGCTAAGCATTATGCATAGGCGGGAACACCTACTTTGGTAAGAAAACGTTTTTCAAATCGGGCTATTTGATGACGCAACCTAAACCCCAATTTTTTTGATGTGGGCTGTACTTTAAAATATGTAAGCTGAGTAACGGGCATCTAATAGAGAGAATCGATATAGACATGACTGTTTAAAAGCTCAAACTGAATACAAAAACCCTATCAACCCTATTGAATTTCCCAGACCTTTTCAAGTTTTCACTTCTGAAAGATTCACACGGAATCTAAATTCACTCTTTTAATTCTCTGTTAACTTCCGAAAAAATCTCACGGAAACTTTTCGACAAGCAATTGCCTGGCGTATTCAATTCCGCAAGCACAGAAATTAATTGATTTAAAATACTTTGCGATAAGTTAAAGGTGCAGATCATGTTTTTACCTTAATCTTTGATGTTTTAAAAACATTATTGCCTAACATTTGGTATATTATTATTTTGTGATTGCAACTCAGAATCGGTTCGATTCTAGACTTCGGCATTTTAGCAATTCCGCCGCCCCTGTTCTAGTTTCCGAACGAATTGATGGAGAGTATGTAAGGGTTGTCATGGTTCGAAAAAAAACAAGTAATTTCTTGGGACTTATTTTTAGGACGCTTTTTAGTGTTCGTTTAAATATGGTAAGATAGGCATTTAATCAAATTAAAATTTAAAAGTGTTTTTGTTGTTATTACCGCTTTATTTAATATTCTATTTGTGCGAAACGTATTTCGTTGACTCTTTTTTTTATTGCCCTCGGCAACTCTGATTCTCTACACTTCTTGCGAATATTTTACAGTACTGATTCCACAAGTTTCTAGCACTAGCTAAAAAGCGGCTCACAAAAATTTGAAAACTTGTATTTGTGGGATACCATTAATGTCAATAGGAGACAGCTGCCAGTCCGCTGAAAGGGGAATTTTTTTATACTCAAGGGAAATCCGAAAATTGCATCAAATTCTCTTCCGATTCAAAACCGGACCTGTATAGGATCAATCGGAAGAATTGTTAAATTTCGGTTTTTTGTAGTAACAGAAGGTCAATTAACTATTTATCATAGTATGAATACTTCGATTTAAGCCAAATGTGTTTGGTTTGAAAACTTGTTGCAATTCTTATTGTCATTTTCAAAAAAAAATATTTTCGCATGAAGCGAATTTTTGCAACCAAAATTATCCATAATAGACAGGTACAGGTACCAGGTGCTCTTGGTGCCAAGTCGGGAATATGAAATAGGAACTTATACCTAGTTCCAGAGCTTTGGCGAATAACTTCCGATATATGTGGTCAGGACAACTGTCCTGATAATAAAATTCTTCTCCTATAGACCGGAGCTAGTCGCTTTTGCACGATCGTTTCTTTCAGGCCAATCAACCAAGACTTGCCCGATTTATGAATATTTGCTTTGTGAGGTGTTACACTTTCACGACTTTATAAACTACTGACATTTATTTCTTCTGGCTTGCATTTTTCCTATGTCCTATGTCTATCTAATCTTTTCATGCAGTTTATTCGCGCATAGTAAATGCTATTAACATACAAAAAAAAACGACCTTAATCGTATTTCATAACGCGTGCACATAACGCTGATCGTGTAAAAGTCTCATTTAATTTTATTCATTTATATTTGTATGTCATATTTTACCGAGTTAAGATTACTTTGAAAAGCGGCTTCTTAAGAATTAATAATCTTCAGCATGAACAAATAAATCTAAAATGTCTGAATTAAACTACATTTAAGAAGGTAACACCAAATAAAGACAATTTTAATAGAATTCGTTCGACTTATAAGCAAAAGTTGTCAGGTGTTATCCATATATTTAGTTTTTCTTTTAACAGAAAAATTAATTTGCTGTTTGCTATTAAATTAAGTTATGATTCTCAAGAGCTATTGAAATGCTTTGGCCAAATAAGTATTTAGACTCCCATATTTTTGTATAACCTCAAGTGTTATATATACTTCGGCCTTCCAAAGCTACCTTTTTTATTTTATTTTTACTTACCGTTTAAAAAAAAAAGCGTTTTAGTATTATTTTTTTGATAAGAACGAAGAATAAATAAATTTATTCGGTTTTTAAAGAATTATTAAACGCTTACGGAAGGAATTATAAGCGAGTATTCACTGCTCAGAGCATGCACAAATATTTTTATTTTATTTCCATGGCTTGTTTTTATTGCTTTTCTTGTTTTAAAACTCTTTCCTGTTGTTTGCTTAATTTACTTTCTTTTCATGTTCAGGTTCAGTGCAAATCATTTTGATGGCAAATGTCCGAACGGAACGCGGTGAGTTCATATCCCGATCCCATTTTGAAGTAAGCATTTGCATATGTAAATAGAAATGATTAAATGAGTTGTAGGGCAGTGCTTAAAGAGACTCCGATCAAATTTATAATTTAGAAGTTTTTGAGAACATTGTAAGGAAGAGACAGGAATCTGTTTTTCCATTTTGTTATTTACTTAAAGGCGGTTTTGAAAAAATTTTAAAAATGAACATATTCCAATTATTTGAACATTTGCAAAGCTACACAAACAATATGAAGTGTTTACTACTTTAATTTCAGATTAACCCATCCAAATATAGTGCAACTCTTGGAAACGTATGAGGACAAGTCGAAGGTGTACCTAGTTATGGAGTTGTATGTGGTTCTAATCGATACTTTTTTCTAGCACAGAAAAGCTTCGCGCTTACTCTTGTTTTTGGATTTTTTAGGGTTACTGGTGGTGAACTCTTCGATCGCATTGTGGAAAAGGGATCTTACACTGAAAAGGACGCTTCTCATCTCATCCGACAGATTCTTGAAGCTGTTGATTATATGCATGAGCAAGGAGTTGTCCATCGTGATCTTAAGGTAAAACAATTTAAGCAGATAAAAAAAATTGTCAAAAAGTATATCTGCTACCAACATAAATTCAGCAAATTCTACATACTGCGGCACGGTGTAAGTAAAAGTGCCTGTATTGGTAAGATGATAAAATAATAGGCTGAAGCATACCTAGTGGGAAAAATTTAAAAGATGGGCTAGTTGTTTTTACAAAAATATATTCCTTACTCGATACGAATTTCATCATTTAATTTTCGGTATCTCTAGGTATTAGTTGCAAACTAGCGGGATACAATTTCATTATTATCTGTTAGTTAGCAAGCCCAGCAGATTAGCAGTAAGATTATCCTTTGCGCTAGGGCCTGGAAAAAGTTGTCCAAGAATTCATTTAGGGCGTATGGCAACGCTAGTCAATGTGTATGTATTAGTTACTTCTAAGTCGTAACTTTGCTAAAATAGTTTTTATAAAATCATTAAATTGAAATTATTTACAGCCGGAAAACTTACTCTACTATAGTCCTGACGATGATAGCAAAATAATGATCAGTGATTTCGGCTTGTCAAAAATGGAAGATTCTGGAATTATGGCTACAGCATGTGGAACCCCGGGATATGTGGCTCCTGAGGTGCTAGCACAAAAACCCTACGGAAAAGCCGTTGATGTGTGGAGTATTGGAGTAATATCCTACATTCTTTTATGCGGCTATCCGCCGTTCTATGATGAAAATGATGCTAATCTGTTCGCTCAGATTTTAAAAGGTATTAGTAAAACTCAAAAAAGGCGCTAACCCTATCAGTTATAGTTATATGTATATATGTGACCGGTACCTTTTTATACGAGTTCCTCAATGAGTAATAGCCCAGTCCCGTTTCGCTAAAAAGGTTAGGATTTTTGATGGATGGTGGACTGGTGTTTCCATAGAGCCACCATCCACTGTCCATCAAAAGTCACAGTGAACTGAATTCTTTGAGTTTCTATAAATGTTTCCTAATTTCTAGCTAATCCTCATTAGCATAATTGAACATTAAAAAAGTTAAGTTGATAAAAAGGGTGTTTTGGTAAAAACTTAGCGAAACCGCGGGCCTAATTTGCCATTCACTTGAAAATACCAATCAGTGATGCCACCTAGTTTGTTTCCAACTTCCAAACCTAGTACCAGCAGGTCCACCTCTTTTAGTCCGAATAAGAAAAGGTTTTTTATACAAAGTTTGTTGAGGCATATTATTTTTTGCAGCAAAAAAAATTTTGTAATTTTTTAATTCAACTAATTGCGTTCCTTTTATGGCAATGGTCATTCGGTACGCCGTATAATGCCATTATTTGAAGAAGAAAAATCAAACCAAGCCGAATACAAAATACCATAAATCCGGGGATTTAAAATTTGTTTTAGCCGGATAAAACAAGGTCCGAGCTTTCACTTTCACACTTAAACTACTAGAAATCTTGGGGCAGAAGACGAAGGTCGACGTAGATGCTGTGAAAGAAAATTTAAGCAATAGCGTAGGGGGAAGTAAGTAAAGTAAGAAAGGAAGAAGAGTCCGGCAAGCCGAAGTTTACATATCCTTGCAGCAAAGATTAATAATATTCTTTGAAACAACTAAATTTCTATTATTATCCGTATATCTTTATTAACATTGAAGATTTGATGATTTTTTGAATGATGATGGTTGGATTGTTCCTATGATATCGTTGTCCGATTTTAATAAAGCTAAAGCTAAATTATTAAATAATATTATATCTGAAGGAAAAAAGGAAAAAAAAAAAACAATAGGGATTTTTTTGATACTCCGATTGTTTCAATAGGAGCTATATAATATATTCGCCCGGCTTAATTTAAATTAAAACTGTTCTAAAGTTCTGAAATAATAATAATCCTTCTACAAATGGAAAAGAAATGATTACCTACAGAAAAAATGTCCCTTTTTAAGATCCCTCCTAGCCGTTGGATTCTTTACCTTTAAATTATGAATTAGATTAATTTGTTCATTTGTTTTCTATCTTAGGAGAATTTGAATTTGACTCACCCTATTGGGATGAAATAAGCGAGTCCGCCAAGCATTTTATTAAGAACTTAATGTGCGTAGCAGTAGAAAAGCGATATACATGCAAGCAAGCATTGGCACATGCTTGGTAAGTGTTACTTTTCTTAACTTCATAAATTTAAATTTGAATTATAGATTAACATTAATATACCCTGCTAAATTAGGATTTCCGGAAATGAGGCCAGTAGCAAGAATATTCACGGAACGGTGTCCGAGCAATTGAAGAAGAACTTTGCAAAATCGCGTTGGAAGGTTGGTTTTTCATATTATTATATATAAATATTAGTATTATTATTAAATAAAAATGTTTTATTTTTTAGCAAGCATACTACGCGGCGACAGTGATCAGACAGATGCAGCGAATGGCGTTAAGCAGCAATAGTAGTGCAAATCTTGATTCTACTAGCAATAGCAGTAACCAAAAAGACTCTACAAATCCAGCAGCTTCTGAAGCATCTATTTCTAATGTTTTGTCAGCACAGCAATCTGCACAAAGTCATGCACAAGAGGTCAGCGAGCCGGTACGCAGCACAAACGGAGCTTCGCAGTAGCAAAGTTGAATATCAAAATTATGTTACATATACGCTGTTTTGAATTACATTTTTGAATTTTAACGATTATCTAGTCTAGTAAATATGTCATATTTACTAATCGGATACATTTTTCAATCGAAAATACAAAAACATAACAAATGAATATGAGTACAACTGTACTTTCATCTCTTAATAATATTTAAGACACAAGGTTACTGCTGAACCCAATACACTGCTCAAACTCAATGCGACGTTTAAAATGCCGTAATAATTCGTAATTAAAGCACGGAATTTGATAATATTTTCGGGTTTCCCTTAGCATAATCGACTTTCCCTTCTTCCCAAACTTCGTTTGGTTAACACAAGCGTAAATATAATGCTGATTATGACATTGACATGAAATTTGGCCCAGATGTCATTAAGTCTTACGAATTCAAGAAAAAATAACTAGTCCGAAATGTTAGGTCCGTTTAAATTGTTTAAATTCAACACTCATCCTAATTTTTGCACACACTAGAAAGTCCCAAGAAAATACCTGTTTTTTTTTTGTATCATACCTTTAAATTACACTAGCCGAAGGTTAGAATATAACCGATTTTTGAAAAGGCAAATATGTTATTATTAGTTAAATTTATTAAGCAATAATGTTCTTTAAACATCAAAGAATAAGATAAAAAAATAAGTTGTCATTCATCGTCATTGTCATTTATCGCAAAGTATTTTAAAAGTAAGTAATTTCTGTGCTTGCCGATCTGAATCCGTTAGACAATTGCATGGCGGAACTTAGAATTTAGATTTCGTAAATTCTTTGGAAGTGAAAGCTGGAACAAGGTCGATAATTTCTATAAGGGTTTCCTTACTTCAGTGTATGTTCTTGCATTTTTGTTATATAGCTGCTGTACAAAAACTTGTTTGTACTTTACTTCAGGTGTTCATTATAATTTTCCAGGACTAAAGGCCTGGTAATCATTGATTAACTTTTTAAGACATTGGATAAAGAAGTCAGTAAGTCTAGTGAGTAAGTCTAAAACTAAACAAATAAATTCAATGAGTAACTATTTTTTTCAATATATTTATATTAGAATTGATCGTGCAAGCCTTATTGCATTAGGTGGGATTTTTTATCAATATATATATATTAAGATTATAAAGTGTAAGAGCACTACGTGGCATGCTTTTCTGCTAATTTTTGACTTTTCACAAGTCATTTCCTGCCCAAGAAATGTGCGAACTTCAAGGCTTTTCGTGCCTCAGTAATGTGCGACCGCTACAGAGCTAGTCCATTTGAAGGCTCTTGACATAACCTACAAAACGACGCTATGCATGACTAGTTTGGACATTGTGTTTAACAGTTATAGACGTGTAAACATAAAGTTCACTAACACCGAAATTCACGCTGTTTTAAAACTTTCCTTCGATGAAGGCAAATCCGATAGTGAAACGTTCCGTGAGATAAATGGTGTTTTGGGGAATGGTAGAGCTGAATAGGCCTCTCATGATAGTATCGATATATCGAACATTAGGGTTTAGAAACACTATCGAGGTTTTAAAATTAATAGTAAACGCATTAAAAATTATACATTAATATATTTGGCGTTTAAAAGCGTGTCTCGTGTGGGTGTTTATTGGAGTTGTCAGGGTGAGCCTCTTAAGGATTATTATAATTTCTCTCTTTATAATTTCTCTCTTTTTATAATTTCGTTTCTTGTGGATCTCGAAGAAATAATGTAACTTTTTTTTTAGTTAGCAATGGAGAATCTGCATTTTACTTGTGTGATAAAGCTTAAGGGGTTATATGGAGTAAAAATTTAAAACAAAAATTTATTTTTTTTTTTGTTTATTTTGTTGTGTACATATATTTAAGAAGCTACAACCAAATTTTTTTAAAAGGCGTTTCAGAGTGCTTGCAATTAAAAGTCAAACTTTAACACTCGTTTTACTCAAAATGGTGTTTTCAAAGTCGATAACCAACATTATTCGAAAACGGCTAATTTGATAGTCACAGATTTTGACACGATCTCGAATATATTTTTGCTTAATAAATCAAGGATTTTATTTATGTATCACATACGACAATATCAAGCGTAATCAGTCGTGGTCGAAGGCCAGTGAATCGTCCCAGACAGTGGCCAAACCGGGATTGATCGTCAGAAAGGTTTTGCTGTGTGTTTGTTGGTGTTTGGGAACCGGACACCCTGTACTCTTACTATGTTTATCTGATCTTATAAGCGCAGTTCGATGCGTTATCTATTATTATATTATATGTACAGTCACACGAGCGCATGAAGCGCAACTTAATTCATATGTATATGTAAGAGCTTTGACCAACTGCTTTGTCTTAGGCAGTATTTTTCCATTCATCTCGAAACGGTAACATGTTTACGAACTAATTCAAACTATTCTTCTATCACTCTGCCTATTCTTGTATTACTCTGCGAACCTAAAGTGTCACAATTTTGCTACCATCGCAACCGCAGCGCAAGGCGCGTATCGACCCTTTTAGAATGTTCGGTGAATGCAAATAAAGATCAAACTAAACAGTTACACTATTGGCGTATCATTTATTAACATAAAATTATTGGTCCTTCGAGCCGGATAGCCAGTAACGTGTTTGCATTCGGGTCATTTAATTAAATTCGAATTGTCAACGGTGATCTATAGATTCCTATATCTATAGAACCGTCTCCTAACCTCGATCGCCATGCGGAGTGTGATCCAACAGCGGGGCTTTTGCAAAAGTCAAATTACTCGGGCCTATAAGTAAGCCCTTAAATTCGTGGAAGATATTCAGTCAATTCCGACCCGGCTCAACTACAAGACAACTACTTGCGGTTCGTGCAGCTCACGGAGGAGCTGTACGGATCCGAGCCTGAAGAGGGTTGGGAAAACCCCGAAGATGGCCTTGATATATACAAAGAGAAACATTAATCAACTTATGCAATACTGAGTAATTCTCTTGAGGAATAAAAGGCGGAGGCCGTTGAAAATAATGCTGTACTGCTTACCGATCAAACCCTGAACGAGCTGAGTGGATAGTAATTGGTAATTCCCAATGCTATTCTTTTCCATCGGGATGATTTGTCGCATAGCGATTAAGATGAAAATAATTTTTGTTCGTTAAGTGAGTCTCTGATATAAGCATGAAGCCAATGTCATATTGGTATAAGAACTGCAAGAGCTCGTTTTTGTGCTGCGAAATGCCATTTGCATTCCAGAAAAATAATATTAGTAAAACCATCTAAACTGATTTTGGTTTAAGTAAAAGCTCCAAAAGAAAATGTTGCGTACGCATAAGCTTCTGTTGCGTTTTCTGCATTGCTACCATTGTGTTTGTTATAGTAACATACATTAATTTTAACTCATTTGGCAATTAAGAGGTAATGTCAGGACCCTGGTTCGATGTCTGTTGCTGCGTTATTCCTGCAGGACTTGGGAAGTTGTCGGCCTAGACCCTGAGCATATGCCCCGTTGTTTAAGCTTAGCGCCTGAGCCAAAGAAACTCCCGGCGTCGAGGTTGATGGTATATACGGTATGTTTTGTCGGCTTACTGGGTTTCGAGCTGCAGTTGTCTGTTGGGTTAGGCGTGATTTTAGCTCTTTGCAGGCAGGGCAGCCTCTGTAGTTGGCAAAATTGCCCTCCTTATTTACAGGATGTGCATCCCCAGAGGCAACGCGGACGGCAGGGTGCAGTACGTTGTCGTATGCCCATATTTCTGACAAATCGTGCAATGGACGGCCTGTTCTGTTTGTGAGGTTCCTCAATGGTGATTCTGCGGTGCAATTGGTCTTGAAGTTTGTGAATTGAGTGATTTTTTTTTGTTTGAAGTGCATATTGGCTGAGGAATTTTATTTCTATTTATTATATTCATGGCAATTTTGACATCAAAGCCGTTTTCTTTAAGTTCCGCTTTTATCTTATCGATCGGAACTGTTGATTCGATTCCTTTAATTACCACTTGTAGTCCTTTGCTACTTTTCAGTTGGTAGATAGGTAGGTAGTAATTTATTTTCCCGTTGTCCAAAAATTTAGCCACTGTTCATCATTTACTTGAATCTTGGTTTCATTTATATGGCACCTTTTATTGGACGTGACGTAAAATTTGTTACCGCATATTTGATCAGTTATTTTTTTAACCAGTTCTGCACATTACTTGGAGTAGTTATTTCAGTAGTTTTGTTAACTTTCGATGCAATATTTTTCTTCTTCGATTGTGGGCTTAGTTTCCTTTTCAACCGCACATAGTGATCGATTCCACTTTGTAATAAGGCAAACTTTTAACGTACATTATAATAATATCAAACATCAGTTTTATTAAGGCAAAAAACCCAATTGGTTGTCTAAGTAAACATTTCAGAAATAAAACTGTACATTATATAATTGTGGTATAATAAGTTCTTTTCAACATAAATGGAATTCACTTCTTCTTGTTTCGTTTTTTTTTCTTTTCTGATCCATGGACTCTTTTTTTTGTAACACAAACGCGACAGAACCAGTCATCATTGTCCTTTGGAGCAAAAGTAATACCTACACAGATCCTAAAATTAAATATTTTTGTAAGTAAATTTTAGGACAGCAAATTTGGTTTAGTATTATCATACCAATGGTACCACGCATCGCAGCCATCGCATCCAATCATAGCAGAACCATCGTCTACCTTTCCACATGCAGGGCAAATCCATATACGGTTGCCCTCGGCGTCAACATATGATGATGGGCGACTTGCTTCTGCAATTTTCGAGGTATCTTCTGAAATATTTGTGGCAGAACTGAAAGAGCCACTTCTTGGTGCGGACACTGCACTATTGGCTATTACTGATGAAAAGTTGTTTATTATCGGATTAGGCGTTAACATCAATTGCTGTGGTAGCAAAACTGAACTAGCCGAAAGCGTGGATGAAGCAGCGTTACTGTTATTAGAGTTCGACAACCAACCGGCTGAATTAGACGAAGTTTGTTGTTGACTTATCGGGATCTGTGTTGTCCGCGGAGCTATTTGGGAAGGTAACGGTATCACTGGTACGGAACTAGCAGAACTGTTGCTCAAAAGGGGTCCTGTGCTGGAGACGCTCAATAAATGTGTATCAGCTAAAATGAATTACATTACAAAAGAAATCGAATAACTACAATACGTACATTGTTTGCTCTTAGGCGGTCCGGTGACCA